AAAATCCTGGATCGTTTTAATTTTTCAAAATATTTTTTGCGGTCGTAACACTAATCGAAGAAAAGACAATAGTGATGTTAAATCAGGAAGATACCAAACATACGTTTCCTTATAGAGAAGCAGTGGGTGCTCTTACGTATTTAATGGTTTGTACCACACCCCATCTTTATTCAGTGTTGGATTTCTCCTAAGAACTTTAGAAAATCCTTCAGATGAAAATGTAGTAAGACTGAAAAGAGTCTTGCCGGTACGATTGACCTAGGTGTCACTTATTAACCAGGCACATCCACTCAGTTAAGATGTTAATTACAGGGATATTTGTTACAAGCTACAAAAGAAATTTTATGGACTACAAAACTTTTTATATCTGTAATTAATTTTAAGCAAATACCAGATTTGGAAATTGATAACACAGCAGCAATTTGTCAAATAATTTTAATAAAAACAATACATATTATTGACATATTATATAACAATTATTTTGCCTATTTATCTTTAATGTACTTAAAGCTACTTTTAACAATCGCCATTTGAAAGCTTGTTTATGATTTTAAAAGATAAAAGCTGTGTAATTTTACCTCAAATATTAAGCTGTTTAAGGAAATACAAATGATAGAATATAATAATTAGGATTATTAGGATATATGAAATCTCTTGCCAAATGTGATCTATTAAGTAAGCACCGATGAATAAAAAATTTCCATTTATATTCATGTCAAAACTATTTTTTTAACTTTCAGTATTAGCTGTTCTTTTGTATGATTCTTCTGCTCATTCGTTACAGACACGGTGAGATACTTGGACAGTTGGTACAGACAGAAATAGTGAATTACACAAGAATTTGCTGTGGAATTTTAAGGACCTCAATGTCGCGCTTTCATATAATCACATTTTGATCAAATGTGACAAACGGTCCAAGCAAAAAAAAAATACTAACGGACACTAATTAATTTGGTATGTTCAAGTTGTAACATATTTATGAATTTAATTCATAAATCCAACAAAGTTTGACTAAAGTGGTTCTAATCAAAGCATCGATACATGAAAACATAATTTATTAAAAAATTAATCCCCTACCAGAAAATATGCAAGTAACAATATCCATTCTTTATGAATAATTTTATATGAGAAAGATTTAGTTTGACAACAAAATCATCACATCACAATTAAATATAAAACTGAATATAAAACTAAAATTAGATTCAATTATACAAGAGATTTTTTAGCAAATGAGAACACATATAAAAGGCACTGAGATAGTTCTAAATAAACTATATTAAAAACTGTCCTATTAGACCACCTCTCTACTCTATAAGCAAACTCATTTTCTAATAAAAGATTGAGTATACTATAAGTCGTCGCACTTTCCTGCTTTCACTTCTAATATGTTTCAAGTGTGCCAGCACGGGACGTTAAGTATTCTATCCCTTTTTACGTAATATTTATTTCTGTATTAAGTTTTAATCGTCGTTAAAAAATGTCGTTCAGCTTCACCAATTCCTGAACAACCTTAAAAGATCTTCTCATGTTTTCCAGTCTGAGTTATTCTAAATTTTCAGCTCTTGACCATAAGATGTGTTTGTAGACATTACCAAAGAAAAACTTATTCGGAACAAAGTAGGCAAAATGAGGTAGCCAATGATTCCTTACGTTAGTCGTTGTTAGCAACTCCGGGGTGTGGGATTATTGTATCACCATCGTAAAATTATAGTGAATTTAAGAAAAGTGTAGTAGATGAGTAAAAGTAATCGCCAAATTCAATTGTATCACATTAAATAATGGTTAATGATCACTAATTGTTTTTATGGTTGAATTGAAAGTTCAATTTAAAATCAACCGATTATTGAAAATTCACTCATATTTTGATCAATTAAAAACGAGAACTTACATTAACTATAATTCACTGACGAACAATTGGAAACAAATGATGGTTGCTATTATGGGACTGAGTGGACTACCCACAGGTGCTCCAAATATTTGGCGATAGAATTAGATTTGAATCATCTACTACTGGATACCGTGATTTTCCACAATTGCCTTTCTCTTTGTCATTTATTAAAAAAATTGTAGATGATCTTATTTGTTCTGTTCTTTCTTCACAAATTCAAAACACCTCAAACCTTTGCAAAACTTCAGTTCATGAACAGAAATTTAAACTTTGCTATTTCAACATCTTTGAAAATAATGGATACTCAAAACATATGCTGAAGAAATTGATATTTATTTAGGACATTTTTGACGGTCCCACTGATATCAGAGCAGTACAACCAATTCAATATAAAAAACTGCCATTGATAAAGCATTTAACTCCTTCTGTGACTAGATTATTTAAACAATTTACTAATATCAAAATTTGTAAATTTGTTAGAAATAATTAGAAAACGGACAACTGTTTTCAAAAGAAAAAAACAAGACTCCAACTCTTTACAAAACCAATGTTATCTACAAGTTGACTTGTTGAGATTGTCAGAGTCGCTATGTCGGTCAAACTTCACAATGGCTCAAACAGAGACTAACACAACACAACAGTGACTACAAAAAAAGAAAAATACGTATGCCGGGGTTGATCATCATTTAAAAACTTGGCATTATTTTGACTACACAAATGTTAGGGTTTTGAAGCAAGAAGTTAATTATAAAAAAAGATGTTTTTACGAATATAGCTAAGAAAGTGGTGTAGCATCTCTGCTATTAGCACAATAACCAGAAGACCGGAAGTGGGATATATGTGCTTGTGCTAAAATTGTTACTTTCATGGAATCCGGCTGAAGATCACGTAAGTTTTGAGATCGATAATATGCAGAAAACATAAGCCATCATTTTTAGAAATTGTGAGGTGATAGATCCCTTTATTTAGAATAATTTTGTAATTTCTTAATAACGTTGGTTTTAGAACGGCGATTAAAAGTTAATACTAAAACAAATAATAGGCAAGCTTTTGTAGATTTCAAAGGTTTTACACCACCATGAGACAGGCGGTGGTGTTACTGTCTAATATGAGGGAACTGCAGGTAATAATGCGAAGGATATTTATGGAATAATGGTGGAATTATGCCTGAACGCCTCTAAAGCCGTAAGGTTCAAAATAATTTAACTTCGCTAGCAATCGTAGTTCCCTATAGTTGCTTAGTAATGAATAGATGATAGAAAAAAGTCAAACCCAGTTAGTAGCGATACGGATGTAAAAAAATACAGAAAAAACAATGTCGACATGCAGAAAAATGAAGATATTAGAATACTAACTGAAAAGAAAATATAACAACCAAAATAGAAATAAAACAACTAAAATGGTTTGGAAAATTATAGAAGTTAACAGGATATGCAAAGGAAGAAGGGTCAAACTAAGGACAAGCTGGGATAATAGTAGAAAATAACTAGAAGCAAGAAAAAGTATGATTAGAAAAAATTAAAGAGTCTCTAGAGTCTTTATCAGGGTTCCGAGACCACACTCTCGGTGAGTTCACAAATTCAAGCACACATGGAGACCTCTTTCCACCTTACAGCCAATAATCTTCGAACCACCCCCTTCTAAACATCATGTCAGCGAGTTAAGTCACCACCAGCAGCACGAAAGTAGCAAAGTTGTGTAATCATAGCAGTAGTGAAGTTATCTGGGGACTCAAAAGACTAAGACTCAGGCGTCCTGATGAAGGCTCTAGAAGGGAGTCGAGAGGTCGATGTAGCTAATTAGACGCTAAAGCTATACTCAATCCTATGCTTCTTTAATTCTATTTTAGGTCATAAAACTTTTGAGTTATGACGTTCTTTAAAAAAATGTGTTCGGTGTTTATAGAAAATTCTACCATCAGGTATCAGTTTTATTTATTTATGTAACTGACCTTTTTTGAGATATGACAGTCTTCTTTCAAGGTAGCATATATATATATATATATATATATATATATATATATATATATATATATATATATATATATATTAGAGTGATGTTACAGAAGTCCTTTGTGAGATTTAATCTAATCTAATCAAATAAATTTATTTCATATAAAATTATTCTTTATTTTCTAATAGTGATATCTAAATTAATATAGCTTATGTTTATCACAAATAAAATATAACCTATATTATTGTATCCTTTTTGTCTAGACAAATGGATTCATTCCGGTTGTTGTGAATTTTCTCTTCCCCCATTTATTAGAAATTTCAACTTTCTTAGAGTTTGGTTAAGGATTTCATATATTTTTTATTTAAGTGACTTTTATTAATTTGTATTTCTGAATTTTTCATTTCTCACATGTTTAATGATTTCGTGAATCTCCACGAATGATTTTCTCCATAATTATATTCTTCCTGTACTTTTGTTTTTACTGAAATGTATACTCTATCTCTATTTCCTTGCTTACTGTAAGTTCATTGGAACTGTTACCCCATCTATATTTTGATTAATGATAAACTGACAATTATTCTTGACGTGCAGCATCCCTATTAAAAAATTCTAGCCTCAAACAAATATTCAGCAGATACTAACCTAGAAGTTATGACTGTATAAGTTCATCGTCAAAGATACACATTCAATATCCCCCAAAATTAAAAAGCATTGCTAGTAAACATTTAATATCAAATTTAAAAAGAAATATAAAAAGTAAATAAAAATTTTTAACAGAAACGTCAATAAGCTTCCGTGTTTTATAATGAAATATAAGAAAAAATGAAATCAACATTCTAGAACTTGTTGTAAAATACTAGGTGAATTCTTAATTTGTACAATTGTAAAAAAATCGTTAAACACACTCGAAACTGGTGAAAATGCCATTCCATGATTCTACAGATTTTTTCTTTATCTGAGTTAACTATATGCTATTTATTGAGTTAAATAAAGTGTCTACAAAAACTATATTCTAAAACGAAAAAACAGGATTCTTTGATAACTCAATAAAAAGCAACGAGACTCTCATTATATGCAACCAAACGCTTTACCCCATTCAGTTAAAACTTTAACAAAAAGCGATACTAAACATATACACAATTAATTTATATTAAACCTATTGGTCCGTTATAATAGTTTCTTCGGTTTTAACATCGGCCAAGCCTTGCATTGCCTTCGTCAACACTGTTGCATCCTTAAGAGATAAAACCTGAAGTACCTGTGGAGCCTCGCCTGCCGATCCCTGAATCATCATGGAATGGGTTGTAATACCATTGGGGGTAACTGTTAAAGTGTCCATATTGTCACTTGAATTGGGTTCCACCTTTAAATACAATAAAATTAAAATTATTCTTGGGGTTACTAGGACAACAGAAACCAAAAAGGATGTTGCGCTTGTTGAGTGAATTTTGGCATCCTATGAGTTTCATTTGTAAAGCATTTTGCTCGCTATTTTCTTTGAAGATAATATCTATTCTAAAAAATAAACACTATACAAATCAAAAACAAAATAATACGAAGTGTTCAAACAAAAACAATATACAATAAACTTAAAAAAAATTAATGATGTCGCCACCCGACGTCCATATTTGGCTAGCTGTCTTGACAAGTGTTAATTGTATCGTAAGCTGCACCGAAATAACTAAGTTCTTTAAAAGCGCGTATTTCTTACAAACATTTCAATTAACGTAATCAATTACAGCTAATAAGAGCAACTAGCTACCTTCCAATAAATAAAAGATGTGAAAAATCAAAGAGAACAACGAAAAAAAAAAAACTTACGATTGATAAACGAAGAACTACAAACACCTACAGACTTAAATAGATCGGCAGCTTATATGGTGAGAAGATAAAGTCTTATTCTCCCCCTGCCAACCCGAGCACTCCCAGTAGAAAATGGGACTGCAGAGGAAACTATTTTAGATGCCAACTCTAGTGATATCATTGACAGTGGTGTTACGAATCACTTAGTTACGAAGGATGTTGAAAGGTTTTTAGATAATATTCAGGAAGTACAACACAAATGTGAGAAAGGAGGATCAATCATTGGTGACATCAAAACAAGGTGATTTGAATCAGCAATCGATAAACAAATCGAGATGAAAAATATATGGAAATGTAATTAACTCTCATATAATTCAATTTCTGTAAAGAAAATGAAAGAAGCATGTCTTCAAATTTTATTCAAAGAGAAGTAGGTCAACTTAATGAAATAATGTTACGATAACAGGTGAGTTAAGATATAGCTAAATGTAAACATCTACCAGAAGCACAAATTACAGCTGTTAAACGTAATGTGCCAATGCATAGGAAAATTGGTCATTCTGCAACGTATTCCGTATCTTGTATATGTGAACTCTGTTTAAAAAAAGTATTATGTTACGGTTATAGACCATTATTCACATTTTTTATAGGTTATTTGATTAAGGTGTGATAATGGAAGTGAATAAAAGCTTTTAGAAGATTATCTTCAATTACTGGAATCAAAATTCAGTATACAGTACCACAGAATAATAAACAATCAGAATGCCCACTCTCCATGGAAAATTAAGTACGCGCATCTCCTTCGCGCAGACGTTCCGCCATGTTTTAGAGGGAACCAGTGTTGTTTATGTGGTGTACATAGAAAAATTAACCCGGTTTAATTGACTTACGGCAATCATAGACATACTATACAATTATATTAACATTGTTAAATATAATAACATAAATATAATATAATTAAACATAAATATAAACAATTACATAACCTCACAAATCATATGTCTGTGTTATGTGTTTCCTTCTAAAACATGGCGCGCGTGCTGAAAAACTTCAAAGGCGGCATCTGAGAGTGGACATTCTGATTGTTTATTATTCTGTGACAGTACCTAGGAATTTAGAATAAAATGGTGTTTCTGAACGTTTTATCAGAACCATAATGGAAAAGGAAAGATGTTTAGTTTTTGATTCAAATTTAGATAAAAGCATGCGTAGTAAATATAATGGTTACAGACTATGGAATCTACAAGAAAGAAAACTAATCCATGCACGGAATATAATTTTTGTTGTAAATTCATTTGAAAAATATAAAAAAAAATATTGAGAATGAACAAATTGCACGAACTCAAATTGAAAATAGAGTGGAAAATATTCCAGAAAGAATCACTGAATATCAACATATACAGGAAGAAGAAGTTCGTGAGGCATTTAATGAAAATAGAAGTATAAGAAATAAAAAGAGGCCAATATATCTTGAAGACTAAAATTATGACTATGATTTAGAGACAAATTTACTAGCAGCTATCTACTATCAGTAGGAAATTTTCTTGACGATGTTCTTGAAACCTTTGCTGAAACAGTCAAAGGCTTGGAATGGAAACAAGCAATCAGCGATGAACTTCAGTCACTGGAAAAAAAACAACACATGGACTTTATTGAAACAACCAGAAAATGTGAATGTAATAGACACAAAGTGGGTATTTCGTGAAAAAGAATGGAAAGATAGTTAAGAAAGCTAGATTGGTAGTTCGAGGCTTTCAACAGTGTAACATAAGTGAAAATGTGTATGCACCGGTAGCAAGAATAGATGCAATTAGAATATTACTTTTATTGTATGTAGAATATAATCGTTTTGGAAAACAGATCTTAAGTTCGCTTTTTTCTATGGAAAGTTGAAAGAACCATTATATACGTATCAATCAGAAGGGCTTTTTAGAAGTTTCAGGTTTACAGATAATAAAATTTGAAATAAAGTTTATATTTCACAAAAGGAATTAAAAAATGTTTTGAAATATTTCAAACCTACAGAATATTATATTTTGAGATTTGTTACAGGTAAAAGCGAAGATTTTGTATCCTATGCTGATGTCGATTTTTCAAATAATCAAATTGACAGAAAAAGTATTAGTGGTTATGTTTTAAAGCTTAACAATAATGTTATTTGTTGGAAAACAAAGGAGCAAAGTGTAGTGTCACTATCTAGTGCATGGGCCGAATACAATGCATTACATTCATGTGTTATATAAAGTTTATTACTCAGTCAGATATTAGAAAAGATTTTTAAAACTATGTATAATACACTTGTGTATAAAAATAACCAATCATGTATTAAGATAGTTTCTACATTGGAATCAAAAAGAACCAAACCTGGCAAAAACATTTTTACAAAGTCATTGTCAAAATCTAAATTCACGTGTTTCAGGGAACTTTTGAATGTTGCTGAGTTGTAACAGTTTTGTAGTTAAGCTAATATTTAAATGCAGAAGAGTGTTGGTATTACAATTCTATATTCGATCTTTTTCGTGTTAAGAATTGGTACTACCTGTGCATGACAAGTGTGTCAACGAGTCAACAAGAAGTTCGTATTGTAACCAGTCATTATTGTTACAATAAAAACGTTAAAGAATCTTTTTAACCACGCATCCCTAGGATTTTCACTATAGTAATGGTACGTCCAACATATTTTCCATTGATTTATATGAGACATTTGATTCATACGAAAAACATTTTTTTTTTAAATATAAATAGTAGTGAGCAACGTTAAGACACTCACTAATCATTTTAATCTCATGTAGCAAGTATCTATATTTCTCTACCATATCTATGTATTTGATATACAGTTGTGTAGATCCTCCCAATTGTTTCTATATTAAAAGGTGTAATTATGGTCGTTATTTATAAATACATATCCTTTTTGCGTTATTTTACATTTTCCTAAATATGCGTTAAATGATTCTTTCATTTTAACAATGCCAGCATCTCTAATTATACATTTTTACTTCTCAATTTTGAAACTGACTTCTTCTGGACTTGTCCTTTATTTTTCTTTAAGACACTTACACCGTATATTTTCTTGAATGACCCTAACATGGTTCATATAAAAACTCTGCGAAGTATCAATGGTAAAGAATTTTGTTCAAAAGAATTTGAAAGCAAGTGTAAATGCTCAATAGATCAAAAAAACAATTCCTACACTCCTTAACAAAATAGAGTATTCGAACGTCTGAATCGGACAATTATAGAAAAGGAAAAGTGTCTTTTGTTTGATGCGAATCTTAAGAAAATTTTTTGGACTGAAGCTCTAAACACAGCTGTTTACTTAAAAAAATAGATCTTTGGCTTCTGGTTTAAACAAAACACTGTTTGAAATGTGGACAGATAGTAAACGTACACGTTCCAAAAAAAAAGGTCAAAGTGCGCGAAAAAGGCTATTTTGCACATTTTAATAGGATATACTGAAAATACAAAAGGATACAGGGTGTATAACCCAACCGCCAAAGAAGTTATAGTAAGCAGAGATTTACAAATTATGGAAGACACAAAACAAAAAAGTTTTAAATGATTGATTTTGATTTAAGAGAGCAGAAGAAACTCTAGATTCAGTGGGGGAACACATCAAATATAATGTTGAAAGATAATGGTAATATTTTTAGTGACGAATAGTCTAGCTACTATGAGGAAGATAACTTAAGGGATAAAGACTTTGAAGTGCCCAATTTACCTGAAACATTAGAAGAAATACGCAGAAAGTCAGAACGAGTAAGAAAAGAAAGACTATTAAATATGTAACATATATGTGTGCTGAGACAAGTGACAGATGATGTTCCGTTAACAGTCTCGGAGGCATTACAATGTCCTGATGGAGCTAAGTGGAGAGAAGCCATGATGAATGAAATCCAATCTTTCCGTGACAACAATGCATGGAATGTGGTAGATGTACCAGAAAATGGCAGTGTGATTGATAATAAGTGGGTGATTAAATTAAAGTGTAATAACGTAAATAAAATTACATATAGTACAAGACCAGTGGCTAGGTTTTTTAATCAAAGATATATTTATATAGACAATACAGAAACTTTTGCGCCAGTAATAAGACATTCTTCTTTAAGGTTGCTTTTCTCACTTTCTATACACTTAGGTTTGGATATTACTCATTTAAATGTTAAAACAGCATTTCTAAATGGTCATTTGAAAGAGAAAATATACATCCCATGACCAGAGGGTTTTGATTTAGCAGGTAACAAATGTTTAAAATTAAATAAGGCTATTTATGGGCTTAACAGTCTTATAGGACCTGTAATTATGAAGTAAATAATGTTTTGGAAAATATTAAGTATAAGAAATCAAAACATGAACCTTGAATCTATATAAAGAGGGAAAAGAATAAAAATTACGGACGTAGATATGTAGATGATTTTTTTTGTGTTTTGAAATAATGAAAGGGAACAACTAGACTAAAAAATGAGCTAAAAAGTATAAATTTTGTTATTAAATATTTGGAATTTGGGTACAATTAAGGAATATTTAGGTATGCAAATAGACTTTGATCCAAATAAAGGTTATATTTCTTTGAATCAGAAAAACTATATTATTCAGTTATTAAAGAGATTTAATATGAGTGATGTCAAAGGAGTTAAAACTCAAATTCGGTTTAGGCAAGGTTTTGTAGATGCTGATTGGGCAAGAAATACATTAGATCGTAAGATCCTTTACCAGATATGTATTTGGCTCTGCAATATCTTGGCAAAGTGCAAAACAAAAACGGTAGCTTTATCTAGCTGCGAGGCAGAATATATGGCATTATTCTGAAGCTATTTTCTTGTGGCATTTTAGAGTAATTATTATTTAAATGGGAATAAGCCACAATTAAAGGTTAAAATACGTTTATTGACGTTTCAATTTCCACTTCGGAAATCGTTCTCAAAATACGATTTCCGAAGTGGAAATTGAAACGTCAATAAACGTATTTTGATTTAATTGATAATTGATATAAGGTTGAATGCTCGAGTAAATGAACTTTGAAAAATAAGGCTATTATCGAGCACAAGTTTAATTAAATCTTGCCCAAGTACTTTCGCTTAAAATAGCATCTTCAGGGGCATTTCGTCAAATATGAGCTATCCAGCAAGCGTAGAATGTGAAAAACATGAGTAATAAGTAAAAAAACGTATTTTAACCTTTAATTGTGGCTTATTCCCAGTTAAATATTAATTAGAATAGATGGATTTGTCAGAGGTTGAGAAAAAGGATGTTTTTCTTAGGGGTTTTTTTAAGTGATTTAATTGAAAAAACTGAATGTATTACTTATTTAATGATAAATGTTTAATATTAAATAATATTTAAGTGCATTAAACTTATTAGCAAATTTAATTTACCATAAAAGAAGCAAGCATATTGATGTAAAATATTATTTTTTGATAGACCTAATATCTGACACAATCATTAATCTAAAATATATGCCTACTGATGTTATGCCAGCTCATGAGTTGACTAAAGGTCTAGTTTCTGAAAAGCTGCACAAACAAAATTTAAATATTAACGCCATATGTCATTTACAGGAAGTTAAGATTGGTACAATTTAACGTGTCAATTGTATTTACTTTTGGAACAAAACTAAGTTAGTCTTAACTGCATACTCAACTGGTTCGTTTCATTTATAGGTTTTAACAGTTGTTACACACACACACACACACACACACACACACACACACACACACACACACACACATATATATATATATATATATATATATATATATATATATATATATATACATTCATGTACATATTATATTCCAAGGGTTCTTTATGTAGAGTAATCGATAATGTACCAATGAAACTTAATTATATTTCAGGAGTACTCCAATTTCTCTTTTTTATTATAATTTTTTCTTCATATTAACCTCTACAATGGCCAGTTTCCATTAACAAGTTATTTACAATGAATAAGTCTTTGAGTCATCATTCTCTTAAACAAATTCTTTTTGTTTGAACAAAGAAATACAAATAAAACTATTATCAAACAATACTTACTTTTGGTACTTGAACAACAGGAGCAACACAAACAGTACCATCACTACTTGCGTGAAGAGCCTGGATATTGGCCACCATCGAGTGGTACGCTGTGACAGGTACGGTGATGACGCCGCTAACTGTAGAATTGTTTACTTTTAGTATGTCTCTTGACCAAAAGTTTAAAAACTTACCTTGAAATAAAAAAGAGAACTATCATGAGCTTTACATAACTATAAATATAAAATATCCAATAAAAGGTTTCCGCATACGTACCATGTCCATCTTCTGCTGTCAAAATAATCTGCCCTTCGGAATTTAAGGTGGCTTCCGTTACAGAATTAAGGTCAACTACTTCACCCGCGGCACCACCTTCTGTAATTGTTTGAATGGCGTGAACCTGGTTTCCATCACCCTGTGCAGACTGTAACTATTAGAAGTGGAAAAGTTAAATATTTACCGTTCCCCTTTACGTTAAACCAAACCAAAACACACTGAAAGCAAAACTTAAAAAAAAAACAATACAGGATGGAAATATGGACAGGAATTTATTTTAGTGGAACTGCAAGAAGCATTATAATTTAGAAAATAAAATAAAAAATGAGAGCAGAAAGCTTCTCACGTTGTTAATAAAAATTTGGTACCCCAGCATCACCTTTTATTATCAACTTAGATTATTTAAGAAGGATCATAGACCAAGAGATTAAAACATAGATACTGATACACTAGATGTAATAAAAAGAATATTTTGAATTTTGAGGAGATAATAGATAATCGTTTCTCCCGAAACAAAGAAAACCTACATAGACACTAAATAATAGCATTAATTCTAAAAAAGAAAAGAATTGTACGCTGCTATTCAATTCATATAAGATTTTAAACGAAGACAATTATGGACTTTTTCTTTTCATCAAAGACAACTTCGATTTGACATCTTTATGAATCTCACATTAGTCCCGCCAAGCCTAATCCCAGACCAGAGGAAATCTAGAAAAACAAAGTTAAGGTATTAATTGAACAACAAACAAAAAAATAATATAAAAAAAATAGATGACCAAAAGATACCGACCAAATATAAAGAAAAGTTACAGTAATCTGTAATTTACTTACGCATACTTGGGCATCATAGTGACAGAAAGATATGCACAATGAGCATATAGAGGAAAAAATCAACAAAGATATATTATTTTTTGTGTACAACAATAAACTAAAATAAATGTAATGCACAAAGGTCTTAGAAAACAGGCAAAACAATATAGAAGGACGTTAACCAACAATTGATAATTAACATAATTTACTTGTGGCTTGTTAGAATGTACATAAAATACATCAAGTGGCTAGAAATATGTAATTAGGCCAAGTAAAATGAAATGAAGTAATTTGGGATACCGAACTTCAATATGACACCTGAAAACGAAGATGTTTCGAGATAATTCTACCTTCGGAAACAAATACAAATCGTCAAATAACCAAAAATGTTTACAAAATATACTAAAATTTGTTTGGCATGCTATTTAACAATACGGTTATAAGAATCAGCAGCGTTAAGTTATTTTATACATAAAGCAAAGCAAGCAACAGGAAAACAAAAATTATACAATACACTTTAAAAAATAAGTGTTCTACATTAGTAAATCAACAATTTACGTGCACTTGAACAGATTGAACAGTATATAGGAGAGAGGGTCTCCCTGGAGCAGTCCGTTATTTCTTTTAAATGGTTCAGATAGAAATTCGTACTCTACATTCAACTTTTTCAAGTGTTAGTTTTATTAAATTTACCAACTGATTTGGTATTCCTAGCTCTTTCATTGCTTTGAACATTTTCCTTCTATTCACAGAGTCATAAGCTGTCGTAAGGGTTGCAATCTGATGAATTGTCTATTTACCACCTCTGAAACCACCCTGGTATTTTCTTACTATCCGTTCTGCATACGGTGCCGTACGGTAACATAGTACTGTGGAAAACTTCAAGCATCGTTGGTGGTTCCTCTTCTCTCTCACCTCATCTCTTTCGTCTTCCAGGTTTTCTTCTTCTTCCTTTATATTAAGTGCCTGGTTAAAGTATTCCACCCATCTATTCAATACATATTTCCTTGTTGTCAATAGGTCGCCATTCTGACTTCTGCATTGTCTTGTGGTTGCCTTGAATTCTTTTCTGTTGATGTTAACTTTCTTATAGAATGCTCTGAATTCTTTCCCTCTGTCGGGGTTTTCTATTTAAGTTCTTTAGATGGTTTCGTTTTTTCCTTTGTGTATCCTCTTTTCTTCTCTTCTCTTTGTCTGGTAATTATCTACGGTTGTTCTAGTTCGTCGGGATTCTTTCTGTAGGCTTAATTTTTTTCTTTTGTTGCACTTCAGTAGTTTTAAATTCAATTATAAATTGTTTATTTAGTGTTGTTACTGTCAATGTATTGCAATTGCCATAAGTTCTGTTGTGGCGTCATTCGAAGATGGCCACGGTCAGGTCGACATTACGAGAGATGTTAGTATCTGGAGCATGTAACGAGTATGGCGACGGTAAGAACAAACCGGTCTGCTTACTCGAAGACCTGATTCACATCAGACATAATTACACTAGCTAGATATGACCGCTTTGTCGTTTCTAGTGTTTGAGAAATCGAACGGTCACGGCAGTTTCCCTTAGAAATCATCTGGAAGGGATGAGAAATGTAAACATAAAATGGATAGTTAGGAGGCGACTTCATGCTGCTGGTTTATCTTCTCGAACTAGAGTAACTGGACCGCCACTTTTCCATGAAACCTAAATTGCCAGATTGAATTTTGCACAAGACTTTGCTAGGAGTCGTATATTGTTCTTCGATGAATCGAGATTCAGTCTTATGGACAAATGTGTAAAAGAGTGTAAGCGACTTCCATTTGGTGGAGGGTCAGTAATAGCCTGGGGAGGCATATTGTTGGACGCTCGCGCAAAGTTAGTCTTTATCGAGAATAGGACATTGACTGCGCAAAGGTACCTATGCTTTTACGAATAAAAGATATCAATACGTATTTTTTTATGTTTCTCATAGGACTACGTTAAGTCTTGACTGCAAAAGTAGTTCTTTTATTTCTCAGCATACTTTTTAAGGTAAACTACACTATAAAAATTAGTGAGTAAAAAACTAATCATTCTGCATATCTAATTAACTTACCGTTGCCATTCCCTGGACATGGGCAGTAGTACCGTCTGGTAACGTGATGATGGGGTTATTAGGATCAACTTGTACGATACTGACTGTGCCATCTGGGTTGGTAATAGTATGAAGTACTGCTGGTGTATACTGCGTAGTAATCTGTAATGTGGTTCAGATCTCTTATTTGATATTAAATATTACAAAAATTTCAACTTCAGCAAATTATACGAAAAAAAATGAAAGTAATTTAAATAACTAACTAAGATTTAAAAAGAAACAAAACCAAGCTAATAGGAGCACGCAACTAAAAAAGTTTTAAATAATTATTTTTAAGAATCTTATAGTATGTTTCTATTTCATCAAAAAACGTAAGTATAATTACAACTTTAGAGAAAACATCTCGTAAATGGAAATCATACCTTTCAAAAATATTCTCAACTCATAAGGCGTCAAGTATTTGTTGTCCCACAAATTAATTATTCCTATCCCAAATTCAATTTTAACATCTGACGACAATAGCCCTTACAGAACCATCTGTTTATTGCTCTAAATATAATACCACAGGACATAAAGATGAAAATTGCAGTACCGAATCAACAATACAACAAAACTTTGACCAAGTCAATCCAAGTTAAGGGGGCTAAGCGAAGCGAATATTTCTAAATGGCTGAATAAGCCATGCGCAGTGGAACAGCGAGCCACTGAGTGCATTATTTAAAATTTTCCTACTCGCAAAAAATTTGTCATTAATTATTATACAGCAAGACTAAAAAGTATTATGAGTCACTCATATTACTCAGTAACTTCTGAAAATGAAAAATTGAAATTTAGAAAATTGTGAATGGTCCTTTATACATAGTGAGTCATGAGGAACTGTATCTACATACTATGGAGGCTCCTATGGGGAATAATAAATGACTATTAAGAAGTGTCTGCTCCCATTGTTTATTAATATACTGGGTGAGTTATGAACTTTCTTTGACTGAAATATCTATTCGTCATAACTTTTGAACAGTAAGTGCGATGTCTCTCACATTTTGGTTAAACGGTACATTACTAACACCTAATCAACTGATTGATTCAAACTGGAAAAAATCTGGTCCGGCTTTAAAAAATTGCTCGTTTTGTTCATAACAAAAATTTCACCCTGTATATGGTTTTTAAAAACTCATAGGCAAATAATGGCATATTAAATGTTCCCAAATTTGACTGCGAATTAAAAGTTTTAATTTTTAAAGATTTAAAAACTGTTTTTAAAAACCGCATATAGGGTGAAATTTTTAGTTTTAACAAAACGAAATAATTGTTTAAAACCGGACCTGATTTTGTTTTATTTGGAAAAAACAATTGATCAGGTGCTAGTAGTGTAAAGTTTGACCAAAATATGACAGACATCGAACTTACCGCTCAAAAAGTTATGAGGCATAGAAAATTCACAACTAACTCTGTATAATATTAAACACTTTTTAACATATTGCCTGCCGTCTCGGTCTATGTGATGTCGGCTCGGTCACTATGGCGTGAACGGAAAGTATTACAAAATCCTCTACGGCAGGCAACGTGTTAATGGTCATTTGATATTCCCCATACGGGCTTCCATACGATTTAGGAGTATGTACAGCTCCTCATGACTCACCCTGTATTAAGATAAATATTAATAACTTTTTTAGAATTTTTGGCTATTTTTCAAGACATAACTCTTGCAGGTAAATTAAAATTTCAGACAAAAGGTGACATAAATATAGAGTTTTAGTAAATTACTTTGTATTATTTTGCAGGTGTATTTGCTAATAAATTACAATTAATTGATAAAATTGCCAGACAATGATAATTTTGCCCAGTACTTTCGCTCTCAGACATCTTCAGGAGCATTTCATCAAAAACATTGGCTATCAGCTTCAATGTATGTTATACGCATTAAATACATTTACACAAAAACTAACACTAGACAAATGACAAGCAGTTTAAGAATTGTTTCGACGCTACATTGTGGGCAACGGCAGGATACATAATTCTGTTGAGGGTTTCCCCAGTTTTTCTTGATAGGCCCATTTTAACGTAAATTCATGATTACCGAGATCGTGTTCGGCAGAAAATTTTATGTCGAAAATGTATTTTTGGCTATTTTTTTATCATCTTATACACTTAGAATCAGAAATACATGAAATATGTCACATGGTGTGACAGATGTCACATCATACGTCATGAAAGATGAGAAATAATGATTGATGCAAGATTAAGTATGATAAAAATGTCAAAGTTTGACATAACAAAATCATTCGATATGGCTTGGAGGTATTATAAACATTAAGTCACTGGGGTGTCAAAGGTAATAATACTCTATTTTTTTCAGAATTTTCTAAGCAAGCGAGAAATTAAAATCCGACTAAACCTCCAGAACAAAACACCAAGTGAATGGAATTACTAGTGTGAAACAAGCATTTACTGTCAGTTATTCGTTCACTCGTTTGCGTATAGGGCACAGCAAAATAACTCAAAGTTCTAATTAAATACTGTAACTGTGGGTATCAAACATGTTATGGTAGAATGAAATAAATATATTAATGAAAGAACTTTAGGACTAATTGTAATTTTAAAAACTTGTATTTTTTTTTTTATAGATCCTAATATTATAAAATTTAAATTAAATTAAATTGTATTTTACTTAGTAATTTTTTTATTTTATTTACTGTATTTTTTCCTGGGTCCCAGATTGACGCAGTTAATAAACAAATAAAAAAACCCTGCTGAAATTTGATGATGTTCATAGGTTAAAATCTTACTATTGAATTAACCTAAAATGGCTATGAGTATCGAAATAATTAAAATATGGCATCATTAGGAGAATATTTAAATATAAATTATGATACCGTCCAATTATACCTACAACCTATCCGTTCAAAAATGCGTAATGGAGCGGACGGAATATTCAGAAGCTTACTTGCGTCTCGGGACAGCCAATACGGGCCACGATTACAACCGTTCATAGCCGATGCCGATGCAAAATGTGTCACGTTATAATAAGTGAAGATTAATTTTCCAGACTGCTCGTATGTTTCTAAGACTGCTTAGCTCTGAAATCAACTTGCTTTAAAAGGATGACGATAATCTGTGATATTTACATAATTAATTTCTTATTAATTATATTATTGTACCGTAATATAATTTATTATATTACATTATATAATATTAGGTTGTCTTTATATTTCTTCACGATTTAAAGTTGTCGCAAAGTTTGCAGCGTTTCTTTTTCTTTAAACAAGAATTTATCGAAACATTTTAAACATAAACACGCAAAAAATAAAGTCGATTATGACTGAAATTTGCGAAAATTCAGAGCATCGCGCCCGGATAAATCTTACAATTATCGACCTAATTTTAAAAAAGTTAATTCAGATATAATAATCTTTCTTACACATATTCCTAAATTAGTAATCTATTTGGACTAATTTGGACAAAAAAGTATCAATACGTCCGAACATACTAAATCTTGTTTTATTTACTCAAAATTCTAAATATTGTTGAATTTTAAACTTGTCCAAAATAGTTCAATTTCTCAATATTAATGTTAGTTTTAGTTCGAGAGGTCTAAATATTCAAAAAATTGAACACGTATTAAAAACTTCGGTTGGAATCGGCTATTAACGCTTGTAGCCGCGGCTGCGCACTAGCTGTACCGAGACACAAGTCTGAAACTTTTGTTACATTGACATTGACACAAGTTTCACAGGTACCAATAAACACAATTTCAAGATTGTGATTGTGACATTCAGAAAAAAGGAAACGTTTGGGTTTATATAGACCAATTGCATAACGTATATTACAGACACTGTATGTTTCATAACAGAAACATTATAGTTTTAAATATAAAAATAAAGAACAGACAATAATGGATGAGTTCCCATTTGCCAAAATGTGGCAATGCCTATTGAGCCAAAATAATCGAGTATAGAGTAGCAATCGATAACTTTATTGCTTCGATGAATATAAGTTTAAGACCAATAAAATAATTGGCAAGGAGTTGATTAACAAGAAGTATAAAATGTGTTATCATCTGTTCCGGTGATTCGTTAATGCCGCCCTGTAGTTCCATGTCAAAATGACCAGTTAGACTATGTGCAAACCATATATTTATTTCTTTTGTAAATAGTGGCTTTCAATTGTATAAAAACAAAATAGCCACGTACATATTGCTATTTCTATTGGCTCGACTAGTAGACAAAGTTATCACATTTTCTTTGGTCCGATTCAACTATAACCTGCTTGCTGCGCAAAAATACTCTATACTTAAAAAACTGAACTTCTAGATCTGTTGTGACCCAACAAAGATGATCGCTTTAAAATATGCAATCTGCAAATCACGTAATCAATAAAATAAACGAATTAGTTTTTATACCGATATTGTTCATATTTGTCTATATTCATAAAAATACGACTTTGTAATAATAATTTAGGTATTGGTTATAACTGAGTACATTTCATATATATCTTTACTAACCTGTTACCAGTTTACGAAACCTATTTTGTACTTTATTCTATATATACTTTCTCTTTTCGGTCCATGTTCGTCAACTACTGGACATAGGCTTCTTTTATTTGTTTCCATTGACGTCTACTCTTATTCTAATTCATAACCTGCCCACGGTATCTTTGATATCAACCGTTCACCTCTTCTGCGCTCTGTACGATAATCTCCTGTTCTCTCTTGGTTTCCAGTCATATATGTACACGTACACACATATTCTCGTGTCACAGTATTAGTCATCATACTTTTTCGAAACAGCTAGTTTAATAACAGAAAGATATTAACAACTAAACTAGGAACATTAATCTACACAACACTTATTTTCCTAGTTTAGTTGTCTTTCCCCTCAAGAACTTTCCCTTTATTTGTTAAATAGTTACAATAAAACCGATGATCGCCCGTCACCAGTTTACTATGTTTTTCCAACATTAAATAATAATTAACCAGAGTTAACAACCAAATATTGGTCTTAAAATTTGATGACAGATTATCAACAGACCATTTAGAATTTCTCCCAATCATCCAATAAATCTTTTGTATCGAATACCTTTTCCTCCTTAACTCGTACAATCCAGCTCGGTCTTGCTACTAGACTAATGTCCAAATATTTTGATAATGTTAATATTATTTATTC